CCTTCAAGATGAAACCAACAACTTGACACCCAGGGCCGGAAGGCGAATTAGCGATGCCACCGAAGCTAAGAGTCGAAGTACCGCTAGATGTCAGTTCACAAGTGGCTCTTGAGGCGAACCAACGTTCCGAACCGAAAAATAATATTCAGGGCGGTACTCGATCCGTAGCTCGAGACACCCATAACGTGGAGGAGATCAGAGTCAGCTTACGGATGATCTTCGAGATGTTACAAGCCCAACAAATAGCGATAGCTCAGTTTCAGAGCCAAACTCAGGTACAAAGTAGGCCGGAGCCCAATCCGCTTCGAGAAATCACCCACAGAACGGAACCAGCCATAGTGAAGTCAAATGAACAAGAATCGGGGACTACTCCGGAAATTACTAAATTGCTCGAGGAACTCACAAAATGAGTCAAAACCAACGATAAAAAAGTAGAAACATATAATTCCAGGGTCGATCAAATCCCGGGAGCTCCACCAATGATAAAAGGGCTAGATTCGAAAAAAATCATTCAAAAGCCTTTTCCCTCGAGTGCAGCCCCAAAACCAATCCCTAAAAAATTTCGCATGCCCGAAATACCCAAATATAACGGAACGACTGACCCGAACGAGCACGTCACTTCTTACACGTGTGCCATCAAGGGCAATGATTTGGAAGATGATGAGATCAAATCTGTATTATTGAAAGAATTCGGTGAAACCCTGTCAAAGGGGGCAATGGTATGGTATCATAATTACCATCTAACTCTATTGATTATTTTGCTATGCTTGCAGATTGCTTCGTAAAAGCACATGCCGGAGCCATAAAGGTCGAAACCAGAAAGTCGGGCATGTTCAAGGTAATACAAAAGGATAACGAGATGTTAAGGGAGTTCGTATCTCATTTTCAAATGGAACGAATGGATCTGCCACCAGTCACAGACGATTGGGTTGTTCAAGCTTTCACTCAAGGTCTAAACGAGCGGAGCTCGATGGCTTCACCGCGGCTGAAGCAAAATCTGATCGAGTACCCAGCTATTACTTGGGCCGATGTGCACAATCGATATCAATCCAAAATAAGAGTCGAAGATGACCAGTTGATTTCTAGGTCCGTTACGAAAAGAACTACCAAGCAAAAGTCGACCAGAGATCGATACCAGCTATATAGCGGAAACGATACTACTGCTAAGTATCCAAGGCCTCTTTAAAATCAACCTCGTATACTGGGGGCTTTATCATTGAACGCATCTGTGATGATTATCAAGTTCGGTACAAAGGAAGTTACTTTGTTATTTCAAACAGTGTCTCAACAGGAAACGTTGTAAGAGCCAAATGGTCAAAACGAACCATGCTTATGTAATTGGCCCGAGCCCCGACGCAAAACATGAACACATGTATAATGACTTGCAAAGAAAGCTCTCTTCTTTACCGACGCTCTATGTTCAAGATTTATTATGCAAACAAGATCGAGTTCGAGCAAGAGCTCACTTGACCATTACGCCTACGGGCTATATTGCATGGAGTTCGAATCATTCACTCGACTGCTAAGCCTACGGGCTACTTTTATTTCGAGTTCAAGCAAGCACTCACTCGACCATTAAGTCTACGGGCTACTTTGACCATTACGCCTACGGGCTATATTGCATGGAGTTCGAATCATTCACTCGACTGCTAAAGACTACAGGCTACTTTTATTTCGAGTTCGAGCAAGCACTCACTCGACCATTAAGCCTACGGGCTACTTTGACTATTACGCCTACGGGCTACATTGCATCGAGTTTGAATCATTCACTTGACTGTTAAAGCCTACGGGCTACTTTTATTTCGAGTTCGAGCAAGCACTCACTCGACCATTAAGCCTACGGGCTACTTTGACTATTACGCCTACGGTCTACATTACATCGAGTTCGAATCATTCACTCGACTGCTAAGCCTATGGGCTACTTTTATTTCGAGTTCGAGCAAGCACTCACTCGACCATTACACCTACGGGCTACATTGCATCGAGTTCGAATCATTCACTCGACTGCTAAGCCTACGGGCTACTTTTATTTCGAGTTCAAGCAAGCACTCACTCGACCATTAAGCCTACGGGCTACTTTGACCATTACGCCTACGGGCTACATTATTTTGAGTTCGAATCATTCACTCGACTATTACGCCTACGGGCTACTTTTATTTCGAGTTCGAGCAAGCACTCACTCGACTATTACGCCTACGGGCTACATTGCATCGGGTTCGAATCATTCACTCGACTGCTAAGCCTACGGGCTACTTTTATTTTGAGTTTGAATCATTCGCTCGACTACTAAGCCTACGGGCTACTTTGACTATTATGCCTACGGGCTACATTGCATCGAGTTCGAATCATTCACTCGACTACTAAGCCTACAGGCTACATTGCATCAAGTTCGAATCATTCACTCGACTGCTAAGCCTACGGGCTACTTTTATTTCGAGTTCGAGCAGACACTCACTCGACCATTAAGCCTACGGGCCACTTTGATCATTACGCCTACGGGCTACTTTTATTTCGAGTTCGAGCAAGCACTCACTCAACTATTATGCCTACGAGCTACATTGCATCAAGTTCGAATCATTCACTCGACTGCTAAGCCTACGGGCTACTTTTATTTCGAGTTCGAGAAATCACTCACTCGACCATTAAGCATACGGGCTACTATGACCATTACGCATACGGGCTACATTACTTCGAGTAAAACTACTCATTTCTTCGAATTCACACAAACACTTGACTATTTAAGCTGAAGGATGTTCAAGCCCGATAAAACAAAGGGGACTACCCACAAGGCCCGAAGGCAACAGAGATTAAAAATCAAACTATCTATTTTGTTTGAAAGGCTATTTTACTTCAAAAGGAAGAAAGATTTATATTTACAATTATTTTTGTACAGAGGCGGCTACTCTGCCAAAAGGAAGTTCTTAATACAAAAAACCAAAATCGGTATCAAAAGAACGCAGCAAACGACCTAAGGCCCTAAATGATTCAATCTTCATCAGAGGCCATATTATCGGCACCGTCCTCATCTTCAGACTCCCCCGAGTCATCGGAGTCCTCCTCAGGAAAGGCCAACCTCCGAGCTTTGTTCTCCTCTGCCCTGGCGACTTTAATCTCGGCCCCAATATCGAAGCCTTGAGCTCTGACCTCCTCGAGAGCCTCTCTCCGAGCTTGCCATTTTGCATGTTCGACCATGCTCTCAGCTTTGGCTTGGTTAACCTCAAAATCGATCCTGAACTGAGCCACTTTAGCATCAGCCCTTTTATTGGCCTCGATCACCTCAGATCTGGCCACTTCAAGTTCTTTGGCCAAATCCGCTTTATCTGAAGTGGCAAAATCCAACGGATGCTGAAGCTCTTTTATCTTTTCGATCAGCTCCGAAGCATTTTCTTTCGCAGATCGAAGTTGGCATCAGACATCTCCAACTGAGCTTCGACGGCTTCCTTTTTCGAGGCAAGGATATCCATACACTTTTTAAATTCTTCTGCCTCGGCGAGTAGTGCGTCTACCTGTGAGTTAAGCCGTCCAATCTGCTCGATCCTCTGTCGAACCTGCAGAATCGGATCATTAGTGGTTATCTCTTTTTCATCTTCACTATCACGGAACATTCGAAATACCTGCTCAGCCATCTCCTCATGCTCTTCCCGAGCCGCTGTCAAATCTGCTCGAAGTTTTTCACTAAGGAGCTTGTACAAGTCACTCTTCTCAGTGAGGCTCCGAACCTTGGCATCATGCTCCTTTCGGATTCGAAGAAAGGCCTCGTGATGCAACACCGAAGCCTGCAAACAAAAGAAGAAACATTAGAATTACCTACAACTCTATATGCAAAAGAAGCAACGAAAACGCCATCAGAGTTGTCCGATTCAAAGCATGTTGGGCCTCGTTGAAGAGACAGGCGGTCCCCACCGCATTCATCACTGATTTATCTTCTTCGGTCACCAAGGACCGTAGGTAGCTGGCAATCCCCACAGGGGAAGAAACAATTCGGGTATCCGCAGGTACGGAGAGCACTATCTTCTGCCTTCGGTCGGGATCGATGCTCGGGGCCGAAAATCGGTCCACCAGTTTATGAATCGATGAGGGCTCGGTAGAACCCGACCACGATGCTTTTTTGGGTACCGGCATTCCACCAAAACAGGTAACCCCCTCCGAGGCACCTGACTCAAGCCCCTCCAGAAAACCATGGATATCGGCCGACTTATGAATACCCTCATAGGACCGATCCTCCAACATGACGGCCTCTCGAATCATGGCATCCGAAATCTGAGGGGATCTGCCAAGGTCAATATCCCAAACTCATCCCTTGAAATATCTTCTACTGCCCGAGAAGATCCACCCTCTGTGTCCCTTTCGATCATCTTAGTTCGAGAAGGGATAATCTCGGTTTCTTCTTGTTCTGGGATTATGGCCAAGGTTCCCTGATTTGCTTCCACCAAATTGGAAGACTGTTGAATCACAACATTAGCCCGTACACAGGCTAAATTCTCCTCTCCTTCTTTGGGCTCGTCCCTTAAATAGCGGGCCACTTCCAAAGTCATAACACCAGAGTCCCCCTTCGGCCTTCGAGATCTCTTAGCCGGTTTCTTCTTCTCCGAGATCGGGGAGCCCGATACGTCTTTTTTCTTCCTTTCTTTTACCTGCTTCAGGACAGGAACTTCTTCGCCACCAGATGAGGGCCTCATGACTACATCTTTCCCGAGTCCTACAAAAGGGAAGATAGAGATTTACCATACAAACCGATGAAGAGACAAATCGACAAAAGATTTACCATGACTGCGGGCCTCCCATCGACCCTTTGATAATTCGACCCAAGAACGCTCGGAGTACGGTCTCTGCAACACCAGACTTTTGACCCATTGTCTAAGATCCGGGATCGGTTCCGGTATTCGAGCTACGGTTGTGATAAGGAAAGAAAAATAGATCAACAAAATAAAAGGCAATCACAAAATCAAAACGGGCAAAGAGAAACGTTCACTCACGGCTCATATTCCATTTATCGGGAAATGGCAAGTCATCGGCAGGGATCAGGTCCGAGGTTTTGATTCGAACAAAATGGCCCATCCAACCCCGATCCCGAGTCTCGTCTATGCTCGAGAATGGTGCTTTGGTTGCTCAGCGAGCAAGCTTGATCAACCCCCCTCGATAAAGCCGGGGATTGTAAAGGCACATAAGATAATCGAGGGTGAAGATACGCCCCTCGACCTTGCTCGAGAAATATCGAAGAAGAATCACTATCCTTCAAAAGGAAGGGTGAATTTGGCCGAGGGTCACATCGTACCTCTTACAAAAAGGCAACGATGACAGAGTCTAAAGGTCCCAACGTGAAAGGATAAGTGTAAACACTTAAGAACCCTTCGACGTGGGTAGTAATTAATCCATCAGGCGATGAGATTACTATGAGTTTATTATCCCAGTTGCATTCTTGTATGACTTTATCGATAACTTTTTCGGTAATTGAACATTGATACTCGACATCGGCTCACATCGATCCGGTATCAGAGAAGGCTTTTCAATTTTAAAATTGCCTACAGTCGAACACCCAACCGAAATGAATTCCTCAGGGTGGGGCTCTTCCACATCCTCGCCACCAGCAGGTCGAGATCAAGAAGCAGTCTCTTTATGCAGAACAGTTTTAGACGTTTTTGCCATTTAAAATTTCTTGAACAAAGAACGGAAGTAGTTGGTGTTTTAGCAAAGAGTTTGCAGTAAAAGTCACAGATTTACAGGCAGAAAACTCAGAAGAGACGGAAAGGAAATTAGAAAAATTGGAAGATTAAAGACGTAAAGTATGAATGATGGAAGGAAAGGCTATTTATAGATTGAAGCAATGACGGTTCAATATCAGAGGTGGCCGACCACCGTCTGACACATTAAATGCCCTGGTAAATCCGAACCGATGAGACAGCTATCACATACGACATGGTTGAGATCGATGTAAATATCAGTATATATCCAATGGAGCTGTTGGGAAATCATATCGTTTCTCGCCAGATCCTTTTCTGAGAAACGATGGGACTATCTGTATACGGTCGAAATAGATTTCGGCCTCCATACATTTGATCGAGTTCGAATGGTAAGTGATCGAAGTGAGAGCTCGATACGAGTTCCGAGGATAGTACAAACAAGCCTCGAGCTCCAAGACCAATCGAGGAATCAGCTCGGTATCATTATCAAGCCCATGACCAAA